TAGAGAACGGAGCTGACGTCAATAAGGGAGAACGGGTACGTTAGAAGGATAAATTGTACATGTTATAAAGAGTAAAGTCTGAGTCTGAGGGTAAGAGTATAAATTTCATTTAAATTTGTAGCAGAATGTAGCCGTCTTTAAAGCAGATTCAACCACATATCCTTAGGGTGGTCATTAAAGAAGAGAAAATGCGGTTTATATATTACTATACTTTCTCATTGTTTTTCTTTTGTAGATTTTGAAGGACACTCCACTCTGTGAGGCTGCAGGAAATGGTCACACTGATATTGTAAGGTTGCTCATAGAGAACGGAGCTGATGTCAACAAAAGAGTAGACGTACGTTAGGAAGATAAATTGTATATTTTATAAAGAGTAAAGTCAGAGTCTTAGAGTAAGAGTTTAAATTTCATTTAAATTTGTAGCAGAATGTAGCCGTGTTTAGAGCAGATTCAACCATATATCCTTAGGGTGGTCATTAAAGAAGAGAAAATGCAGTTTATATATTACTATACTTTCCCATTGTTTTTCTTTTGTATATTTTGAAGGACACTCCACTCTGTAAAGCTGCAAGAAATGGTCACACTGATATTGTAAGGTTGCTCATAGAGAACGGAGCTGATGTCAACAAGGGAGAACGGGTACGTTAGAAGGATAGATTGTATATGTTATAAAGAGTAAAGTCAGAGTCTGAGAGTCAGAGTTTAAATTTCATAAAATTTGTAGCAGAATGTAGTAGTCTTAAAAGCAGATTGAACCATATATCCTTAGGGTGGTCATAAAAGAAGAGAAAATGCGGTTTATATATTACTATGCTTTCTCATATAAAGAGTAAAGTCAGAGTCTGAGAGTAAGAGTATAAATTTCATTTAAATTTGTAGCAGAATGTAGCCGTCTTTAAAGCAGATTCAACCATATATCCTTAGGGTGGTCATTAAAGATGAGAAAATGCAGTTTATATATTAGTGTACTTTCTCATTGTTCTTCTTTTGTATATTTTGAAGGACTCTCCACTCTCTGAGGCTGCCGGAAATGGTCACACTGATATTGTAAGGTTGCTCATAGAGAACGGAGCTGATGTCAACAAGGGAAAATGGGTACGTTAGAAGGATACATTGTACATGTTAAAGAATAAAGTCAGAGTCTGAGAGTAAGAGTTTAAACTTCA